GGATTCGAACCCGCGACCCTCAGATTGTGAGTCGAGCGCCTTATCCACCTGGCCATGCCGGGCCTCAGTACTATAAATTGGTTAAATATCATTTTGAAGGAGTACTTGTTTATAGATTTCCAGAGTTTTGTGGTGAGTAACAACATTCAGGTACATTCTAAATGTTATTCATCCTTCTTAAGAAACCGTGTCACAAGAATGTCATTCTCCACACCACACCATGCTGTCTAAGCAACACGAAAAGGTCAGTTTGCCTCTTGCAACTTTCTCCTTACTTTTATCCTAATGTCAAAATGATGTAAAAATATTTATCAGACCAGCTGATACACATTTTCAATCATCCATTGCCAACAGCTTGAGTTCTAAGCGCTACTGAAGACAAAATTTTCTATTTTCACTTGAGATGACCAGTTCCCGCACTGGTTGTCGATAGCCATATACAGTTTGTTATAATGTCCTTCTCGTCGTAGGTTGAAGGTAGTTAAATATCTATCACGTTTGATGTAACCAGTCAGATGGAACTCACTATTGCCTGTTGCGCTTATCATCCTCTGCCATTCACTACCGATGGCAGCCTCAACTTTCCTTAGCGAGATATTTTCCTTGTCGATTGCCTCACTTGATAATGGTGACAAATTACTTTGAACATCTGATTTATTATCGTGACATCTTCTATAAATGTAATGTTGCTTCTGCCCATTGTCTACCACAATTTTTAATATCAGAGTATCCATATATTATTGATATTTTTTATCAGGTTGGTATATTATTTGTTTCAATGTTAGCTATTAACTTACAGCATGATCATAATGAATAACAAATAAAGCAAAGACCATCAATATTTTCTCTAAACTATATATATATATATAAACAGGCTTGTTAACTTTCTTAAATATTTATATCTACTGAATATGAGCAATTGGAATTAATTATAACCAGACATATACATACTTTCAATAGCTTGTTATTTATATCATAGATGAACAAACGATAAAGGTCAATAATATCTGAAAAACACCGTAAAAGCATCCTGGACAAGATTAAAATATACCCATGACAACTTCCGAAGCAGAACCTGTTTCCAAGCCAACGACACTGGAAGCATCGACGTTTAAGAAAGGTCTGCTATGGCAACAGAGAGATAAATTCTTCAGCCGCTGGAAGGAACGTTATTTTATTCTCACCCGAGATTACCTGGCTTGTTTTAAAAAAGGAGCTAAGATTGGAATATCAGAGATGGGTAGCTTCTTGTATAAGGTATGCGTTACAAAATTTATTTCGAATATTTCTCGCCTGTTTTCTTCAGACGAACGCACATTTATATTAGTTATAGAAATATTTAAGCTTCACCAATTATTCTACTTCCAAAAATATTTATCGTTTACATAAGATGTTATTTTAGAAACTTGTTATGTCTTTATATTTCTTGTGATATGCCTTGGTTAAAATTTTTTTATATGACCTATAGATTAACCTTGTAGACATCGAAGGGCTTCAGTGGGCCGACAAGAAACGTGAAGGCGTGATAGCCATACGTCTCGGACAAGAAGGTCAGTTGCTGCTGTGGTCACCGACACGTCTGGATGATTGGATGTTTGCCCTGCAGGAGGCTATTAGCCTGAGCAAAGGGCGGCGGGAAGTTCTCAGGAAATCTCAGAGCTTAATGCCACACATTACCGATAGAAAACTTACTCGCAGGTACTGTACACTGTGACCACTAACGTATAGATATGCTAATTAAACGTAGAGTGCCAAATTGAAGTTCTATCTCTGTTATTACACACATCTTATTCAGTTTTCTATAATTAAGTTAAATTTGAAAACAGTCATGTTCTAACAAACAAAAAGCACTACCCATTTAAAGGCACATCTCTAGTAGTGTATTATAATGTGGACAGATGAACATCAATTTAAGGTTAGAGAGACAATTGCATTTAGAAAAGGGAACTTCTTTTTTACTTCCACGATTCTACAGCACTTTGAGATTCTGAGTTTTCCGTTATTTTCTTTAAGAGATCTAGGAATTACGAAAACAAATAACACTAATGATGATTTGTTGATAGCTACTCATTTGTCGATATAAAGTTTGTATGTACCACCAACATCGGTGTAATATAATACTTTTATCCAAACCTAAAGCGTACATTATGTGCTTCATTGGGTCTACACTAACTTAAAATTCAGATCGTGGGTCTGCTTTTACAATTATTATTATCTACCTGATCCAGAACCAAAACTCTAAAACCCTCATATTAAGTCTTCTTTTTTTCGACCTCATATTTAACGATCGAAGTTTATATTCTGCTCTTTTTTTACATTTCACAATCGAAGATGTTAGTGTGGCAGTGCTGTCATCTTCTGGTTCATAGCTGGTTTTTTTTAGCTAAATGTCAAATTATACTAGCATTAAAAGGTGTATATCGTCCTAGGAATGGAAAATGACGTAGGCGCGTGAACTCATATATCACAGCGAGGTATTCTATGGGTGTTGTTTGCCTTTAAAGCTGAAGAGCCATTTTAACCTAGACTCCATAATATAAATCTGTTTCATGCCACCAAAATTGTGAATTATGGCTAAAAAGAAACAAACGATAAGATTTATCACACAACATTAAATTTGACCAATTTCAGGAAATTCCACCCTCATCGTGATCGTGTATTTTTCATTTATCCATGTCCAGTGTTACTGATGAGGGGCAAAATTTTCACAACTCCGTCTAACTTCATGCTATGTGACGAATCCACAAATAGGCTTGGAATATTATTTCTTTTTTATGACAAAATTCGTAAATTGGGCTTTAAATATGCAATATTTCAAATACTTTGTCTCCCTATTAATGTGGAAGAATGTATTTATAGTCTTCAGTTGCCTGAATGAATATAGGTTATTTATGGCGTGTAAACATTTAAAACACCATAAAAACTTTTATACTATGATTAGGTAGTACAATAGTACTATAAAAAAATGTCCAAATACTATGGTGTTCAAACGCTACTTGTCACGAAATAGTTCAGCCAGTATGACGGATTTAAAGTTCAGGTTCTGTATCAAGTAAATAAAGAACAAACTGATAAAATAAGTTCCAGAGATTGAAGATGTGGCTACAGTGCACCATTTTGCAACACTTGTACGTTTGTTGGAACTCGAATGGTGAGTTTTGTAAAATATTTTAGCAGGTATCTTAAAATGTTTTTCTTGGTAAGTGTGCTTAATAAATGTTATAATGTCTGATACATGCTAAATATTCCAACACAATCAGTATATCAAGTCCATTTTTAAAGAAACACAATAGTGACTGAAAATGTTTGGACATATTAAAAAAATAAGAACGACCTTTCTTTCTTATTATAGATTATATATATATATATATATATATATTATTAATCATTTTCTCAACTTTCGGCTATGCAACCGAAGTACAACTATACATCTTCGTTAAGAAGCTACAACACTTGTAACCGAAGTACAACTATACATCTTCGTTAAGAAGCTACAACACTTGTAACCGAAGTACAACTATACATCTTCGTTAAGAAGCTACAACAAATGTAACCGAAGTACAATTATGCATCTTCGTTAAGAAGCTACAACAATTGTAATCGAAGTACAACTATACACTTTCGTTAAGAAGCTACAACAATTGTAATCGAAGTACAACTATACACCTTCGTTAAGAAGCTATATCAAATGTAATCGAAGTACAACTATACATCTTCGTTAAGAAGCTACAACAATTGTAACCGAAGTACAACTATACACCTTCGTTAAGAAGCTACAACACTTGTAACCGAAGTACTGTATAGTTGTACTTCGATTACATTTGATATAGCTTCTTAACGAAGGTGTATAGTTGTACTTCGATTACAATTGTTGTAGCTTCTTAACGAAAGTGTATAGTTGTACTTCGATTACAATTGTTGTAACTTCTTAACGAAGGTGTATACTCCTTCGTTAAGAAGCTATATCAAATGTAATCGAAGTACAACTATACACCTTCGTTAAGAAGCTACAACACGGATAACTCTAGTACAGTTTATTAGTAATTTTCTTTTCTTCGCCAAAATGTGAATTTCAGTGAAGAAAAGATAACGTAGAGGTCTAATCTATTACTTGACTCGCTGCTACAGCTGGAGCAGGCTAGTTTCGGTGAATTCGCAGCTCATAAGCGCTGCTTGGCAGAGCGAAGCAAATAAACAAAGTAGGCCTTATATGGTTGTAGAATGTAAGCGACTTGTTTGGTTTTGATGTATAGTCCTTTACTCTCTACTAACAACATAGAATACTTCAGATGTCACCTAAAGTATCTTAGATTATGAATGGTGAGTAAAGGATTATACATCAAACAAAACAAATTAACACTATCTCTAGTACAATGATTACACCTTTACCATGAGGCTACGACACTGATAACTCTAGCACACCTATACCCCTTTATCAAGAAGCTACAACAGTGATAACTCTAGTACAACTGTACTCCTTTTATTAAAAGATGCTACACACTGATAACTCTTGTACAACTCTTTATCAAGAAGCTACAACAGTGGTAACTATAGTACAACTGTACGCCTTCTTCAAGAGGCTACAAACAGTGGTAACTATAGTACAACTATATGCCTTCTTCAAGAGGCTACAAACAGTGGTAACTATAGTACAACTATACGCCTTCTTCAAGAGGCTACAAACAGTGGTGACTATAGTACAACTGAACGCCTTCTTCAAGAGGCTAAAAACAGTGGTAACTATAATACAACTATACGCCTTCTTCAAGAGGCTACAAACAGTGGTAACTATAGTACAACTATACGCCTTCTTCAAGAGGCTACAAACAGTGGTGACTATAGTACAACTGTACGCCTTCTTCAAGAGGCTACAAACAGTGGTGACTATAGTACAACTGTACGCCTTCTTCAAGAGGCTACAAACAGTGGTAACTATAATACAACTGTACGCCTTCTTCAAGAGGCTACAAACAGTGGTGACTATAGTACAACTGTACGCCTTCTTCAAGAGGCTACAAACAGTGGTAACTATAATTCACTATGTCATATGGCTTCCCATCGGAGAGACACTTAGAGACTCCTTGGTCTTCCTGGGA